TTAATCTTCATCAACGATATGCCAAAAGCTATCAAATATTCTAAAATATTAATGTTTGCGGATGATGTAAAAATATTTTCAAGCTTTAAACATCCATCAGATCGTATTTACCTTCAGAACGACTTAGATAATTTCTACGTCTGGTGTAAGCAAAATTTAATGGATTTAAACTTAACAAAGTGCAAACACATACATTTTTCAAGAAAATTTGATACTAGCATTTTTTACACCATTAATGGCTCCAAATTGGATTCTGTTGACACCATTCTGGATCTCGGAATTTTGCTGAATGCAAAATTGACTTTTGTTCAACATATAACAATGATTGTTAATAAAGCCCGTAGCATTTTAGCCTTCATTAAACGATGGTCAAAAGAATTTAATGATCCATTTATAACTAAACGACTATTTGCTTCTCTTGTACGGCCGATATTGGAATATGGATCAGTCGTATGGGACCCGTATTACAATGTGCATATTGATCATATTGAATCTGTGCAAAAACAATTTTTATTATTTTGCTTAAAGAGCATATATGGGAACTATTCTGAACTGCCACCGTATGCAGCAAGACTTGCTTTGATAAATCTACCAACACTGAAAAGTCGCAGGACAATGCTTAATGTGTCATTTATGATAAATCTTCTAAATGGAACTGTATGTTCTGAATTTCTATTAAGTAAAATTTCTTTAAATGTTCCTCAACGTCAATTACGATTTAATAATCCATTATACGTCAAAACGTTTCGAACAAATTTCGCTATGGCAGATCCGTTTAGAAAGTTATGTTGCTGTTTTAACGAAATGTTTAACTTTGTTGATTTTTCTTTAAATGTTGATGTTATAAAAAGAAATATATTATACAATCTAAATAATTAACGTTATTCTATGTTTAAATTTAAATAATTTTATAAATTGTTAAATAGTCTGTAAGGAATATTTCCATAGACTAAAATAAAAATAAATAAATAAAAAAATTCAAGTCGAATTTTACTACAATAGATTTATTAATTAATGAAATATGTGCGTTTAGGTGATTTTCGGAAGTGGACTTTATATGTATAGGAGCTATGACCTTACACAAAACATATTTGTGTCGAATTTTATCAAGATACCTTTATCTGAAAATGAAATATGTGCGATTAAGTGATTTTTTTGAAGTGGACCTTAAATAAGAGCTATTACAATATATGGATCAATCCGGAAAAAATTTGGTAGAATGATCAAATGTAATGAACTACAGAGGCATAGCTAAACTTAGCGCAATCCCAAAGCTGTTCGAAAAATGTATAACCGATTCACTGGTTCACCAAGTTTCTCCCCTATTGACACCCCTTCAACATGGTTTTCGCAAAGGATTCTCTGCTATGACAAATATTCTACAGCTAACAACTTTAGTTAATGAAGGATTTGTAAATGGTCAACATACCGATGTTATTTACACCGATTTTAGCAAAGCTTTTGACAAAGTAAATCACCTACTCTTGCTAAAAAAAATGGATGCTTTAGGATTTAACGATAGTTATCTAAGCTGGTTTAAATCGTATCTATTATTTAGAAAACAATCCGTAAAATTTAAAACGTCAACCTCCAAAACTTTTTTGGTTACATCTGGTGTTCCTCAAGGAAGTCATCTCGGCCCAATTTTGTTCTTAATCTTCATCAACGATATGCCAAAAGCTATCAAATATTCTAAAATATTAATGTTTGCGGATGATGTAAAAATATTTTCAAGCTTTAAACATCCATCAGATCGTATTTACCTTCAGAACGACTTAGATAATTTCTACGTCTGGTGTAAGCAAAATTTAATGGATTTAAACTTAACAAAGTGCAAACACATACATTTTTCAAGAAAATTTGATACTAGCATTTTTTACACCATTAATGGCTCCAAATTGGATTCTGTTGACACCATTCTGGATCTCGGAATTTTGCTGAATGCAAAATTGACTTTTGTTCAACATATAACAATGATTGTTAATAAAGCCCGTAGCATTTTAGCCTTCATTAAACGATGGTCAAAAGAATTTAATGATCCATTTATAACTAAACGACTATTTGCTTCTCTTGTACGGCCGATATTGGAATATGGATCAGTCGTATGGGACCCGTATTACAATGTGCATATTGATCATATTGAATCTGTGCAAAAACAATTTTTATTATTTTGCTTAAAGAGCATATATGGGAACTATTCTGAACTGCCACCGTATGCAGCAAGACTTGCTTTGATAAATCTACCAACACTGAAAAGTCGCAGGACAATGCTTAATGTGTCATTTATGATAAATCTTCTAAATGGAACTGTATGTTCTGAATTTCTATTAAGTAAAATTTCTTTAAATGTTCCTCAACGTCAATTACGATTTAATAATCCATTATACGTCAAAACGTTTCGAACAAATTTCGCTATGGCAGATCCGTTTAGAAAGTTATGTTGCTGTTTTAACGAAATGTTTAACTTTGTTGATTTTTCTTTAAATGTTGATGTTATAAAAAGAAATATATTATACAATCTAAATAATTAACGTTATTCTATGTTTAAATTTAAATAATTTTATAAATTGTTAAATAGTCTGTAAGGAATATTTCCATAGACTAAAATAAAAATAAATAAATAAAAAAATTCAAGTCGAATTTTACTACAATAGATTTATTAATTAATGAAATATGTGCGTTTAGGTGATTTTCGGAAGTGGACTTTATATGTATAGGAGCTATGACCTTACACAAAACATATTTGTGTCGAATTTTATCAAGATACCTTTATCTGAAAATGAAATATGTGCGATTAAGTGATTTTTTTGAAGTGGACCTTAAATAAGAGCTATTACAATATATGGATCAATCCGGAAAAAATTTGGTAGAATGATTTATATGCTCACAAAACATATTCAAGTCGTACTTCATCCCGATAGCCTTATTATTCAAAGAAATATATGCGTTTAAGTGATTTTCGTAAGTGAACCCTATCCGGAAAAAATTTTGTAGAGTGATTCATATAAAGATAAAACATATATGTGTCGAATTTTATCAAGACAATGAAATATATGCGTTTAAGTAATTTTCGGAAGTGGGACTTATATGAGAGCTATGACCAATAATGAACCGATCCGGGGAAAAAGTGGTAGAATGATTTATATGTACACAAAACATATTTAAGTCGAATTTTATCCTTATAGCTTTAGAATTTAATGAAATATATTCGTTTAAGTGATTTTCAGAAGTGGACCTTTTATGGGAGCTATGACCAATTATGAGCCTATCCGGAAACAATTTCGTAGAGTGACTCATATAAAGACAAAATATATTTGTGTCGAATTTTATCAAGATAGCTTTATTTGACAATGAAATATGTGCTTTTAAGTGATTTTCGGAAGTGGGCCTTATATGGGAGCTATGACTAAGAATGGACCGATCCGTAAAAAATTTGTTGGAATGATTTTAATGTACACAAAACATATTTTTGTCGAATTTTATCCCGATAGCTTTAGAATTCAATGAAATATATGCGTTTAAGTGATTTTCGGAAGCGGACCTTATATGGGAGCTATGACCAATTATGGGCCTGTCGGGAAAAAATTTAGTAGAGTAATTCATATTTAGACAAAATCTATTTATGTTGAATTTTATCACGATAGCTTTATTTGACAATGAAATATGTGTTTTTAAGTGATTTTCGGAAGTGGGCCTTATATGGGAGCTATGACCAATAATGGACCGATCCGTAAAAAAATTTGTAAAATGATTGGTATGTATACAAATCATATTTGTGTCGAATTTTATCCCGATAGCTTTATAATTCATTGAAGTATATGCGTTTAAGTGATTTACGGAAGTGGACTTTATATGGGAGCTATGACCAATTATGGGCCTATCCGGAAAAAATTTCGTAGAGTGATTAATATTTAGACTAAACATATTTGTGTCGAATTTTATCAAGATAGCTTTGTTTAACAATGAAATATGAAATGATATTTAAATGATTTTCGGAAGTGGGCCTTATATGGGAGCTATGACCAATAATGGACCGATCCGTAAAAAATTTGGTAGAATGATTTCTATGTACACAAAACATATTTAACTCGAATTTTATCGCAATAGCTTTACTCATCAATGAAATATGTGCGTTTAGGTGATTTTCGGAAGTGGACCTTATATGGGAGCTATGACCAATTGTGGACCGACAGAGATCTACGTTGATAGTATGATTTCTGTTCATATTATATTTGCATGTACAAAAATTTGTGTTGATACCGATATATTTGAGTGAGTTATTAACGATAAACTAATTTCCGGGAATATATACCTTTGTATGGGGACTATGGGAAATATTGGATCGATTGTAAAGATTTTGAACATAATTGATCACTGCCCTGAAAAAATAATGTGTGACAAAATTCATCGAAATATCTTTGGTAGTTTCCGAGAAAACTTCAAAAGAATTATGAAAAAACCGTAATTTTTTTCGAGGTAGTCTGAAACTTTTACTCATAACTTTTTACATTGTGAACCGATTTTACTGATTTTCAATACCAAACTGCTTAGGATAATAATAAATATTTTGGGTGAATTTGGTTGTTTTCCTTTGTTTAGTTTTAACGTGAGCGTGTTTTACACAGACAGACAGACAGACAGACGGACATAGCTAAATCGACTCAGAATTTCATGAGGACCCAGAATATATATACTTTGTTGGGTCTTAGATGAGTATTTCTTGGTGTTACACACGGAACGACAAACTTATATATACCCTCTATCACCACTGATGGTGGTGGAGGGTATAATAAATAGTAGCAAAAATATATATTTTGAAGTATTTTAGTATATTTTTCATAAATTTTTTTATATAAATAAATATTTACTTAAATAATTAAAAGAATATTTAATTTAACAAATATTAAAAAAATTGATTTATTCATTTATAAAATATTTAAAACAATAAATTAATAATTATAAAGATGTAACACTTATAATTTCAAAAAGCAGGCATGCCTTAAAAGTCTCAAAGTAAACATTCAAGATTTTACGAAGGTAATTTAAAAAAATTGAGAAAAGGCCAGGAGAAAAAAATCTCAATGTAAAAGAGGACTAAGAAATCTTACAAACAGTGTTGTATTTAAATAAATCAGAGATGTCAACACTGCACACTTGTTTAACATAACTTACCTTCATTAGTAATTATATATTTATTTTATATATTTTTTAAAGTTATATAATGTTTATTACGAAATATTGCATTAAACTTGAAATTTGGTAATAGAACATAACATATTTTAAATGTGAGCTTTAGCTAATAAAATTAATTACTATTATTATTACTGCAAATAATGGTTGTATATACAATTCACTCTCCTCTTTTAATTATCTAAAAGCATCGCTTTATTGCATACTAGAAGTTTCTATTACATTTCTTCGTGTTTTCACTATTTCCGTATATTCTTTAATAAGCGTTGCAATCTGGAATGCCTGAAATAATAAGAAAATTTGGTTAATTTTTGATTTTGCAACGTTGTAATTTTATGTTGTGTTCAATTAATTAAAACTACGTACAAATTTACTGCCGATTTCACATAAATAAGACTACAACAAGTATGAGTTCTATATTCGGCTTACATACCCTTCCCCAAAGTGTGCTTAATAAAAGTTTAATTTTATAAAATTTAAATTTGTTTTATTTTTATCGCCTCATGAGTAGATGCAATACTAAGGTGGTGTCAATTCAACAGCTGATTGTTATTTTTTAATGAAAGTTGTAACAAGGCGAATTCACGGTTTGTCCGATTCACATACGTAAAGAGGAAGTGTTGAATTTAGGTTTCGAATTTGGTCTTCATGGCCTATGGCAAAGTAGGACACCTCGGGTATATTAAATTTTTAAAACGATCCTATTTCTTTATTTGTTTTCCTAAAAATTACACATATAGAATCTCCTCATTGAGCACAATGGCCATAATATCCATAGCAAACGCGAGGTTATCGAAACCCTTTACAGAATATTTAAAAACATAATGGGCCATTTAAAATGGCTCACTATAATTTGATATTGACTATGCGGTTTGAGAATTTTTGCCCTAAATTTGAATTTCAGATAAAAAGTAAAAAAAATTAAGATCATATCTACAGATCATATCCCAGATAAATGAATTTTAGCATTTAATTCAAACACTGCAAAGTCGTATGATTTATATTTTTTGCGTTTACACTATTGGTATAACACAAGAACAAAGTAAGATGGAAACAGCTGTTTATTTTTTTTTTTTGTACGTGTTTACGTAAAAATACATACCTGATCTAATGAATCTTTCTTATTTTTTGAATCTTTTCAAAAAATGAAGAGAGCCTTACGACTGTCAAATGTAAGTCATTCGAATTCTCTCTCATGTGTGATGTCTAAATAACATATTGCGTTTATACTTTCCCATCCGTTCTCTTTTACACAATATTTTGACAGCTCATATTACTTGAAAAATTGTCAGTTCTCACTCTCTTGAACGTGTTTACAAAATTTTGTCCAAATCGGTGACTATGGGAAAAATCTTTTAAATTTTAAATATAATTCGAATTGTTGTATTTAATTCTTATGGGAGGTTCCAAGCCCTCCCAATGAAAATCCGCCCATTTTACCACAAAATGTTCACATGGATGTTAAAGTTCTTCGTGCTAAATTTGAAGATAAACAACTTTAGTATTTAATCATTATGGGAGGTACCAGGCCCTCTGTTGCAATTGGCAAGGAGGGAGGGGGAGACGAAAGAGAGAGCGAGCGAGCGAGCGAGCGAGCGAGCGAGCGAGCGAGCGAGCGAGCGAGCGAGCGAGGAGCGAGCGAGCGAGAGCGAGCGAGCGAGCGAGCGAGCGAGCGAGCGAGCGAGCGAGCGAGCGAGCGAGCGAGCGAGCGAGCGAGCGAGCGAGAGAGCGAGAGCGAGCGAGCGAGCGAGCGAGCGAGCGAGCGAGCGAGCGAGCGAGCGAGCGAGCGAGCGAGCGAGCGAGCGAGCAGCGAGCGAGGAGCGAGCGAGATAGCGAGCGAGAGAGCGAGCGGGCGAGCGAGCGAGCGAGCGAGCGAGCGAGCAGCGAGCGAGCGAGCGAGCGAGCGAGCGGGCGAGCGAGCGAGCGAGCGAGCGAGCGAGAGAGCAGGAGCGAGCGAGCGAGGCGAGACGAGCGAGCGAGCGAGCGAGCGAGCGAGCGAGCGAGCGAGCGAGCGAGCGAGCGAGCGAGCGAGCGAGCGAGCGAGCGAGCGAGCGAGCGAGCGAGCGAGCGAGCGAGCGAGCGAGCGAGGGAGCGAGCGAGCGAGCGAGCGAGCGAGCGAGAGAGCGAGCGAGCGAGCGAGCCGAGCGAGCGAGCGAGCGAGCGAGGAGCGAGCGAGCGAGCGAGCGAGCGAGCGAGCGAGCGAGCGAGCGAGCGAGCGAGCGAGCGAGCGAGCGAGCGAGCGAGAGCGAGCGAGCGAGCGAGCGAGCGAGCGAGCGAGCGAGCGAGCGAGCGAGCTAGCGAGCGAGCGAGCGAGCGAGCGAGCGAGGCGAGCGAGCGAGCGGAGAGCGGAGCGAGCGAGCGAGCGAGCGAGCGAGCGAGCGAGCGAGCGAGCGAGCGAGCGAGCGAGCGAGCGAGCGAGAGCGAGCGAGCGAGCGAGCGAGCGAGCTAGCGAGCGAGCGAGCTAGCGAGCGAGCGAGCGAGAGCGAGCGAGCGATCGAGAGCGAGATCTAGCGAGGCGATCGAGCGAGCGAGCGAGCGAGCGAGGAGCGATCTACTATCGATCTAGCTACAGCGAGTATCGATCGATCATCTAGCGATCGATCTATCGACGAGCTATCTATCTATCTATCTATCTATCTATCTCTATCTTCTATCTATCTATCTATCTATCTATCTATCTATCTATCTTTATTATCTATCTATCTATCTATCTATCTATCTATCTATCTATCTATCTATCTATCTATCTATCTATCTATCTATCTATCTATCTATCATCTATCTATCTATCTATCTATCTATCTATCTATCATTATCTATCTATCTTCCCACCGATTTTTTATCTACTTCGACTGGACCCATCTGAAGAACTATATTATTATTTCGCGGACCCCCATACTCTTTTGATATATTATTGTTCATACTGTGGTCCATCCGAAAATTGACCTAGTCCATTAATCCCTAGGTCTAATAAATGTAGAGATGTCATATCTATAAAATATTCCCGTACATTGAGAATATATAATATTTCAGATAGGTTTTTAATTGCATGTTTTGAAAATAGAATGACTTCATTGTTGATATGTTAACATGATGTTTAATTTTATGATCGTGAGATCTTTCATATTCATTTTTCTTCAAGGTAGCGAAAAGGTTTCTTTAATCAAATATTGTCACATGTGCTTAAGGAGTCACGTTTCAAAAATTTGTTGCGATTGCAAAGGGTGAACTGAGTAAGTGAGCTAAGTTTTCGGGAAAATAATATAAGAAGGTTGGACTTCTTCTATGTTGTTGCGGAATGCGTTATCCGCATAATATATGATTTGAACTCTTTGTTAAAGTACTGTGAATTTGGAACTTAAATTTGAATCTTAAAATACCAACGAATTATTTTACTTCATGGTTTTTGGCTACATATTTACGCGAAACGCTATGGATTTTCTGATGTTAATTTAATAATATGTATTGGTCGACAAAATCGAGTTAAAATCTGTGTATCACGTCGGATTGGAATATTTATAAAGAGATACATAAAGAGTCACCTCTGTTTTGAAAATATATAATTTTAGTCCTTTCAAACAAGAACACTTTTGCTTACAATTTGATAAACTTAAATCTGTAATAAGCTTGTCTTTGAATTGAACTTCATACTCCGGAATACCAGTATCCCTAATTTAATTGTAAGGCAGAGTATTATTTGTCTGAAATAAAAGCCATTATTTCAGTACATATACAGGAAATAAAAATTACAAAACACGCAATACTTTACTTCATAAAAGTTATACAATAAATTTGTAGGGCCTAGCTTCTTCCTGATAAACAACCGAAAAAATAAAATTCAAAAAGTCACCAAAAAATTTGGGATTATTGCACAAAAATTGGAGATATTTGTACATACATATAAAAGAATATTGTTTATTCATGTTTTTTTCGTTCGTCTTCGCGGACCCCCTAGGATTTTACTACGGACCACTAGGGGTCCGCGGACCCCCATTTGGGAAACGTTGATCTATCTAACAATAGGCTATCCATTCAAGTTGAATGTTTTCATCGAAAAAAGTAATTTTACGAAATAAAAACAAATTATAATTTTAAATAATATAAAAAATAATTTAAACAACTGTAATTTTGTATTTTTAATGTATTTTTTAATATGTATATTTAATATCAAAATAAAATGACGGGATTTGTTCGAAAATTCTATATCAAAAATGAGTATGCTCAGTGGAAACACCTTGAAGAGGTTTAAGCAAATCTAATAGATTTCAAGCCAGTGGAAACATAGTATTAAACAAATAGTTGATGAATACACTCGAATAACTAAAAGATCAAATACAATAATTGACTATATTATAACAATTATGAATACAATTGATGTAAAAAACAAGTAAAAAAGTGTAGTCGGGCGTGGCCGACCATATGGTAGCCTATCGAACCGATCCCGATAAAATGGGCTGGATAGATTTGTATTTATAAAATATTTGTGTGTGCTAAATTTCATTGCAATAATAGTGTTAATAAATGAATTGCGGATATTCAAGTAACTCTCTCAAGGCTTATTCTAAGTGGAACAATAGGCTATATAAAATCGTGATTGGACGTCACGATTCCTCTTATGCTCACTTTTTTCTATATAATTGTAATACAAAATTTTCATTCGAGACTTACAGAAAACTACTGAACGGCTTTACATGAAATTCGGCACACCGATAGGTCAGACCTCAGGAGAACTATAAACTATCTAAGATCTGGATCGGACGCCACGCCCCTTTTTACGCCAACTTTTTGTAAAACAATTATTATACCAAATTTACGTTCAAGCATACAAAAAAGTACTAATCCGATTTTCATGAAATCCGTTATAATGAATGATGTGGAATGAACCGTACGGCACACTACATCTTCAAAACGTATAATATATAATAATAAATATATATGAGACTCTTTTATTACCCTTTCACTACATAATTACTAATCCGATTTACATAAAATTCGGCATATTAATAGGTCTGACCTCAGAAGTTAAAAATTACTCTATATGATGTTGCGTAGCAACATTTTTATGTTCACTTTTAGAATAACAGCTATAACACCGAATTTCTAGGCTAAATATAAAAAAACATGAACCAATTTTCAAGAAATTTGGCAACAGACAGTGTATTTTTGGAATCAATGCTTCTTGAAATTTTGCATGGCAATAGTTCTATCGTGGAAGGTTAGGTTAGTTTGAGGAAGAGAATGTTTAATACATAAAATACGAATAAATATACCTATACCACTAA